CCATGTCCCCCATCACCCCCATTCCCCCATCACCCCCTCACCCCCATTACCCCCATGTCCCCCATCACCCCCATTCCCCCCATCACCCCATCACTCCCATTACCCCCATCACCCCCATCACCCCATCACCTCCATCCCCCCCATAGCCCCCCATTTCCCCATAGCCCCCCCATGTCCCCCCCCCTTACCTGCAGAGCCTCCTGGAAGGAGGAGGCCTGGTACTGGGCGTACTTGGCGATGGTGGTGTGTGAGCGGCTGCTGGCGCAGGGCCACACCTGCCGGGTGCCCGAGAGGTCCCAGTTCTGGTCCGAGGGCTGCTGGACCTGGGTGCGCACCTCCACGGCGTGCTCCCCGCTGGCCTGCACCAGGGTCTTGGTGCTGAACAGCCCCAGGTCTGGGGGGGACATGGGGATAAAGGGGTCAGCGGGGCACCCATGGGTGCTGGGGGTGGGTTATGGGCGATGGGGATGGGTGATGGGTGATGGGGATGGGACCTGCACCAGGGTCTTGGTGCTGAACAGCCCCAGGTCTGGGGGGGACATGGAGGGGGGGATAAAGGGGTCAGCGGGGCACCCATGGGTGCTGGGGGTGGGTTATGGGTGATGGGGATGGGACCTGCACCAGGGTCTTGGTGCTGAACAGCCCCAGGTCTGGGGAGGGGGGATAAAGGGGTCAGCGGGGCACCCATGGGTGCTGGGGGTGGGTTATGGGTGATGGGGATGGGTGATGGGTGATGGGGATGGGACCTGCACCAGGGTCTTGGTGCTGAACAGCCCCAGGTCTGGGGGAAAGGGGGATAAAGGGGTCAGCGGGGCACCCATGGGTGCTGGGAGATGGAGGTGGGTGATGGGGATGGGTGATGGGGACGGGACCTGCACCAGGGTCTTGGTGCTGAACAGCCCCAGGTCTGGGGGAAAGGGGGATAAAGGGGTCAGCGGGGCACCCATGGGTGCTGGGGGTGGGTTATGGGTGATGGGGATGGGGAGGAGTGATGGAGATGGGTGATGGAGATGGGACCTGCACCAGGGTCTTGGTGCTGAACAGCCCCAGGTCTGGGGGGGACACGGAGGGGGGGATAAAGGGGTCAGCGGGGCACCCATGGGTGCTGGGGGTGGGTTATGGGTGATGGGGGATGGAGATGGGTGACGGGGATGGGTGATGGGTGATGGAGATGGGACCTGCACCAGGGTCTTGGTGCTGAACAGCCCCAGGTCTGGGGGGGACATGGGGATAAAGGGGTCAGCGGGGCACCCATGGGTGCTGGGAGATGGAGGTGGGTGATGGGGATGGGTGATGGGGATGGGACCTGCACCAGGGTCTTGGTGCTGAACAGCCCCAGGTCTGGGGGGGACATCGGGATAAAGGGGTCAGCGGGGCACCCATGGGTGCTGGGGGTGGGGGATGGGGATGGGTGATGGGTGATGGAGGTGGGTGATGGGTGGTGGGGATGGGACCTGCACCAGGGTCTTGGTGCTGAACAGCACCAGGTCTGGGTGGGGACATGGGGGCGATAAAGGGATCAGCGGGGCACCCATGGGTGCTGGGGGGTGGGTTATGGGTGATGGGTGCTGGGTGATGGGGATGGGTGATGGGGATGGGACCTGCACCAGGGTCTTGGTGCTGAACAGCCCCAGGTCTGGGGGGGGACATGGGGGCGATAAAGGGGTCAGAGGGGCACCCATGGGTGCTGGGGGTGGGGGATGGGGATGGGTGATGGGGATGGGACCTGCACCAGGGTCTTGGTGGTGAACAGCCCCAAGTCTGGGGGGGACATCGGGGGGGGATAAAGGGGTCAGCGGGGCACCCATGGGTGCTGGGGGGACCCTCTGGGGGTGCTTTTGAGTCCCCACAGGTGGGTTTTGAGGTCCCCAGGGGTGATTTTGGGGTGGTTTAGGTGTGGTTTGAGGTGTTCTGGGGTGATTTTAGGGTAATTTTGGGTTGTTTTGGGGTTATTTGGGGGTGTTCGGGGGTATTTTGTAGCGCTTTGGGGTGTTTTTGGGATGTTTTTTGGGTGGTTTGGGGCATTTTGAGGTGCCCTGGGATGTTTGGGGTGATTTTGAGGTGTTTTGGGGTGATTCTAGGGTAATTTTGGGTTGTTCTGGGGGTGTTTGGGGGGTATTTTAGGGTACATTGTAGTGTTTTGGGGTGGTTTGGGGATGTTTTAGGGTGTTTTGAGTTAATTTTGGGGTTTTCTGGGGTGGTTTTAGTGTGGTTTTGAGGTGCTTGGGGTGTCCTGGGGTGGTGGGGGGTATTTCTGGGGTGATTTGGGGGTGATTTTGGGGTGTTTTGGGGTGATTTTGTGATGTTTTGGGGTGTTCTGGGGTATTTCAGGGTGCCCTGGGGTGTTTGGGGTGATTTTAAGGTGTTTTGGTGCATTTTGGGGGTGATTTTTGGGGTGTCTTAGGGTGTTTGGGGTGATTTTGAGGTGTTTTGGGGTATTTTGGGGTGTCCTGGGGTGTTTTTAGGGGATTTTGAGGTGTTTCGGTGCATTTCTGGGGTGATTCTGGGGTTTTCTTGGGGTGTTTTGGTGTGATTTTGAGATGTTTTTCGGTGATTTTGGTGTATTTTGGTGCATTTTGGGGTGTTTTGGGCACTCACTGAGGCACAGGGACCCCGCCAGGCCCCTGATGACAGTGATGGGGTTCTGGGGTGATTTTGGTGTGTTTTGGGTGATTTGAGGGTAATTTTGAGGTGGTTTGGGTGATTTTGGGGCAACTTTGGGGTATTCTGGTGCATTTCGGGGTGCTTTGGGTGATTTGAGGGTAATTTTGAGGTGGTTTGGGGTGATTTTGAGGTGGTTTGGGGTGTTTTGGGGTGATTGTGAGGTGTTTGGGGTGATTTTGGGGCGACTCTGGGGTATTCTGGTGCATTTCGGGGTGTTTTGGGTGATTTGAGGGTAATTTTGAGGTGGTTTGGGGGTGATTTTGGGGTGACTGGGTTATTCTGGTGCATTTTGGGGTGTTTTGGGGTGATTTTGGTGTGTTTTGGGTGTTTTGAGGGTTAATTTAAGTAGTTTTGGGGAGATTTTGAGGTGTTTTGGGTGATTTGAGGGTATTTTTGAGGTGGTTTGGGGTGATTTTGAGGTGGTTTGGGGTGTTTTGGGGTGATTTTGGTGTGTTTTGGGTGATTTGATGGTAATTTTGAGGTGGTTTTGTGTGATTTTGAAGTGTTTTGGGGTGTTTTGGGGTGATTTTGAGGTGTTTTGGGTGATTATGGGGTGATTTTGGGGTATTCTGGTGGATTATGGGGTGTTTTGGGGGTATTTTTATGCATTTTGGGGTGATTTTGGGGTGTTTTGGGCACTCACTGAGGCACAGGGACCCCGCCAGGCCCCTGATGATGGTGATGGAGTTTTTGGGGTGATTTTGGTGTGTTTTGGGTGATTTTGGGGTAATTTTGAGGTGGTTTGGGTGATTTTGAGGTGTTTTGGGGTGATTCTGGTGCATTTTGGGGTGTTTTGGGGTGATTTTGGTGTGTTTTGGGTGTTTTGAGGGTTAATTTAAGTAGTTTTGGGGAGATTTTGAGGTGTTTTGGGTGATTTGAGGGTATTTTTGAGGTGGTTTGGGGTGATTTTGAGGTGGTTTGGGGTGTTTTGGGGTGATTTTGGTGTGTTTTGGGTGATTTGATGGTAATTTTGAGGTGGTTTTGTGTGATTTTGAAGTGTTTTGGGGTGTTTTGGGGTGATTTTGAGGTGTTTTGGGTGATTATGGGGTGATTTTGGGGTATTCTGGTGGATTATGGGGTGATTTGGGGGTATTTTTATGCATTTTGGGGTGATTTTGGGGTGTTTTGGGCACTCACTGAGGCACAGGGACCCCGCCAGGCCCCTGATGATGGTGATGGAGTTTTTGGGGTGATTTTGGTGTGTTTTGGGTGATTTTGGGGTAATTTTGAGGTGGTTTGGGTGATTTTGAGGTGTTTTGGGGTGATTCTGGTGCATTTTGGGATGTTTGGGGGGCATTTTGGTGCATTTTGGGGTGTTTTGGGGTATTCTGGTGGATTATGGGGTGATTTTGTGGTATTCTGGTGGATTATGGGGTGATCTGGGGGTATTTTGGTGCATTTTGGTGTGATTTTGGGGTGTTTTGGGCACTCACTGAGGCGCAGGGACCCCGCCAGGCCCCTGATGACGGTGATGGGGTTCTTGGGGTCGGTGCAGAACTGCAGCAGGACAGGGGAGAAGGCGTCGCGTTTGCTCTCCAGCTGAGGGGGGGGAACAGCCAATCAGAGCCCGGCACCCCAACCACGGACCAATCACAGACCAGCACACCCACCCATGTACCAATCAGAGGTCCTCCCCCCCCCCCCCAGCCAATGGGAGACCGGTAACCCCCTCCCCTCCAAGCCCCCTGCTGGCCAATCAGCAGCAGCACTTTTGTGTGGACCAATCAGCCCAAAGGGAATAGTCCCAACCTGCCAGCCAATCAGCAATGGGATGCCCTGAGCTGACAGCCAATCAGGACAGGGATGCCCTGGTCCAGCAGCCAATGAGGACAGGGATTCCCTACCTATGGGCCAATCAAGACAGGGATGCCCTGACCCACCAGCCAATCAGGATGGAGATGTCCTAAGGAATTCCACACACTCCCCCCCTCAGCCAATCAGCATGAGGATCCCCTGGGGAATACCCCACCCATGGGCCAATCAGCAGCAGGGAACATTCCACCTCCCATAGCCAATCAGTGCGGGGACTCCCCAGCTTGCCAGCCAATCAGCAGCAGGGATACCCTCAGGCCAATCACCAAGGGGATGCCCTGGGCATCTCCCCTCCTGCCAGCCAATCAGCAGGGGGGGATGCCCCATGACCTTTGCTGCTCGGCCAATCAGCTGGCAGTACATCCAGGGACCCTTGCTAGTGGACCAATCAGCAGGGTGGGCACCATGGGACCCCTGTCTATGGGCCAATCAGCACAGTGGATGCTCCAGGACCCCCTACAGCAGACCAATCAGCAGGGAGGGGGTCCTGCCAGTGGGCCAATCAGGTGGAAGGACCTGCAGGGGATGCCCCACATTCCCTTCTCACCAGCCAATGAGAAGCAGGGATGCCCTGGGAACTCTGCCAGTGGCCCAATGAGCAGTGAGGGGGGGCTGTCAGCGCACCAATGAGCAGCAAGCTGTGCTGTCAGTGGGCCAATAAGCAGCAAAGGGGTCCCACCAGTGAACCAATGAGCAGCGAGGGGGTCCTGCCAGTGAACCAATGAGCAGCAAGGGGTGCTGCCAGCGGCCCAATGAGCAGTGAGGCGGGCTGTGAACGGCCCAATAAGCATCAAGGTGGGCCAGTGAGCAAAGGGGGGGAGTCTCGCCAGTGGTCCAATGAGCATTGAAGGGGTCCTGGTAGCAGCCAATGAGCATGGAGGAGGGTCTGGCGGCAGCCAATGAGCACGGAGGGGGTAATGGCAGCAGCCAATGAGCATGAAGGGGGGTCTGGCAGCAGTCTATAAGCATGGAGAGGGTCCTGGCAGCAGCCTATGAGCATGGAGGGGGCCCTAGAGCAGCCAATGAGCATGGAAGGGGTCCTGGCAGCAGCCAATCAGCATCGAGGGGGTCGTGGCAGCAGCCAATGAGCATCGAGGGGGTCGTGGCAGCAGCCAAAGAGCATGGAGGAGGGTCTGGCGGCAGCCAGTGAGCATCAAGGGGGCCCTGACGGCAGCCAATGAGCATGGAGGGGGTCGTGGCGGCAGCCAATGAGCATGGAGGGGGCCCTGGCGGCAGCCAAAGAGCATGGAGGAGGGTCTGGCAGCAGCCAATGAGCATCGAGGGGGTCTGGCGGCAGCCAATGAGCATGGAGTGGGCCCTGGCAGCAGCCAATGAGCATGGAGGAGGGTCTGGCAACAGCCAATGAGCATCGAGGGGGTCTGGCGGCAGCCAATGAGGACTCACGTAGATGCTGGGGGTGGGGGGGTTGAGCTTGTCCCGGGGCAGCTTCTCCTGGGAATCGATCTGGGGCTTCACCGACTGCGCCGGGGACAGGTAGGACTCACGGAAGGGGCCCTTGAGGCGCGCCTGCCTGCGGGACACGGCACCGATGGGGCAGGGATCCAGCCTAGAGCCCCCTTAACCCACCCTAAACCCCTCTGACCCCATTAAATACACCTGAAAGCCCTGTCAACCCCATTAAACCCCCTTAAGAGCCCTTTTAATCCCTTTAACCCCCCCTTAAACCCCTTCAAACCCCCTTTAACCCACCCAAAACCACTTTAACGCCATTAAATCCACCTTAAACCCCATTAAACCCCCTTAAAAGCCCTTTTAATCACTTTAAACCCCCCTTAACCCCCTTCAAACCCCCTTTAACCCACCCTAAACCCCTCTGACCCCATTAAATCCACCTTAAACTCCTGTCAACCCCATTAAACCCCCTTAAAAGTCCTTTTAATCCCCTTAACCCCCTTCAAACCCCCTTTAACCCACACAAAACCACTTTAACCCCATTAAATCCACCTTAAACCCCATTAAACCCCCTTAAAAGCCCTTTTAATCTCTTTAAACCCCCCTTAACCCCCTTCAAACCCCCTTTAACGCACCCAAACCCCCTCTAACCCCAATAAATCCACCTTAAACTCCTTTGAACCCCATTAAACCCCCTTAAAAGCCCTTTTAATCCCTTTAACCCCCCCTTAACCCCCTTCAAACCCCCTTTAACCCACCCAAAACCCCTTTAACCCCATTAAATCCCCATTAAAGCCCTTTCACCCCCCCCTTAACCCCCATCAAACCCCCTTTAACCCACCCAAAACCCCTTTAATCACATTAAATCCCCCTTTTAACCCCTTTAAATCCCACCTTAAACCCCCATCAAACCACCTTTAACCCACTCAAACCACCTTTAACCCCATTAAAAACCCCTTTTAACCCCTTTAAACCTCCCTTAAGCCCCTCCAACCCCCCTTTAACCAACCCAAAACCCCTTTAACCCCATTAAATCCCCCTTAAACCCCTTTTAACCCCTTTAAATCCCCCTTAAAACTCCCTTTAACCCCCAGCCCCCTTCAAACCCCCTTTAACCCTCCCAAGCACCATTAAACCCCTTTTAACCCACTCAACTCCCCCAAACCCCCTCCAATTGCTCCTAAAACCCTTTAACCTCCTCAAACCCCTTTCAATCCCCACAAATGCCCATATAACCCCATTCCCCCATATAACCCCATTGCCCCCATATAACCCCATTCCCCCATACAACCCCATTCCCCCCATATAACCCCATTACCCCCCATATAA